AGCTGATTTGACCATTGAAGTGCATTCATTAAGTAAAAGTTCAACTGAGACGCACCTTTACTATAATGTCGAGCTAACAAATAATTGTTTTTAGGTGGTTATCTTGTTAAATTTTGAAGAAATGCACAGCGAGTCGCCCTCTGCGCATTCCTGTTTCCGCATGTCGGCTTTTGAAATGCAGCTGATTTGACCGTCAAAGTGAATTTACTGTATTAAGGAAAAGTTAGACAGAGACACAGTTTTGCTATAATTTCGAGCAATTTGTTTTTAAGTGCTAATCTTGTTAAACTCTTGTTAAAGTCCTCCTGTGCATGCTCCCACCATTTTGCGGCCAATCAATTTTTAACACAACACCGGCCCACATTTCCGGGTGGTCAGCGGTGACTCATAATAGATGCGACATATATGGCAAAGCGAGGTATTTATGGATTTCTCCACTTTATTAGACGTATTTGGACAGATGCAACTTATAGGGCGGTGCGACATGTACGGCGGAAAATACAGTCTATTTAACCCCAGTGAGCAGTTCTATTCAATAGCACCTGTGCAGACACCATTAGCCTGGCCGTGTTAATCGATACAATGAACACAAAGAAAATTCCTCAGATAAAAACGGGTTTTATCAGCTGAACACAATTAAAAGTAGCAACAATTATCACAAACAAATGATGTGGAACACTGATGTCAGATGACGCTGCTGTGCTATTGATCATGGAAGAATCTCCATCGATCAGGATGTCACTGTGGAGCTGCAGGACATTGTTGAGAGACTTTGGGAGGACACGTGTTACATGAATGAATTAAATGTCTTAAACCACGGTCACATGGTTCAAACATATCCATGCCAATGTGAGCATAATGTGAATGTGCGTTACTGTATACAGTAGGTAAAGTCCAGTGAGTGTATTTAAAGAAAAGCTGGACTTCAGCCCACACAGTCTCTGCTTGCAGGCTCCATACAACTAACAGAAACTGTTACAAAACCATTGAATTTTATTATAATTAGCTTGAGAATATGGAACTTTCCTTCTTTCCCACTGCAGAGTGAATAATAGAAAAATCATGCAAATTGTGATACAAGCACCAAATTAGGTTTGATGTTTTTTCATCACATCTGCCTGATTGGCCATTTGAAAATCTGAGATGCATTTCTGCACAGTAATCATATGCTAATGCGATTTACTTGATCGATTTAAATGATTTTTTTAAAACGATTTATATGTTTTCTTCTGTCAGTAGCCTTGTACTACGCATGTTACACTCATTAGTAAATTATTAATAACAAAATAATAAAAAGTTAACCGTCTTGGTCTACCAAGCAGAATTGTTAACTCTTTGGAACAACCATACCAAATGTGGTGCTTGTATTACATTTTGCACAATTCTTGTGCAAAATTAGTTGTAGCTGCTCCATCATCTCATCCTCCCAGCCTCCTCTGTCACACCAGCCCTCTGCAGAGCTGCCTCCACTGCATACACACACCTCCTTTGTGGTCTTTTCCATCCTCTGCACCTCTACAAACCATCTCAGCTTTTCCTCTGTAACTTTGTCTCCAAACTCTTCAAACCATACTTCACAGCAGGTATGACATTCTTACAGCTATCGTTGTCACCTCTGGTTCTCAGCTCTATTCACTACACCCCGCCTGCACTCTTCTTCACCTCTCTTGTCTTCTGCTCATTGCTTTAAATGGTTGACCACAGGTACTCAAAGTCGTCCACCTTTAATATCTCATTAGCACACATGCATTCTGTCATGCTTCTACCGTCTTTCATTCCTAAATAATAAAATATACCAGTACAGATGTGTGCAGATTTCAAACCAGACAACCAGCTCACTCCTAATCACACACAGAAAGACCATCGGTCTCTCTTCACAAGATCAATACACAATTCACAGAAGAGCCTTTTTAGACTCTTATGACATTCAACAAAACATCTACTAAAATATCTGGTAAGCATTAGAGCTGCAATACAATATTATTAAAGGCATAGAAAACCAACAAAGACCTGCACAACAGATAAAAAGAATGAAAATATGGGAAGAAAGATATAAAATATGATATTTTGTTACTTGTAAAGTAATATTGACAAATCAGAATACGAGTGCAGGCAAGTGAATGGCACGGTACCAATCCTCATTCCAATTAACTAAATGAAAATTCAGCCAACTAATAAACTGAAAATTCTGTTAAGGCTGATTTTCCAGACGGCTACTTTTGAGAAATCCATGTTCATGTTATTAGAGTCATGGAGGAGAGTCGATAGTTAATAATCTGTTTTGATTCATGCATAACCACCTAAATCTTGAAAGTCAGCACAGACAAACTTCACTAATAACCACTTAGATGATAATCACATCAGACTGAATAAAGATGATCAAATAAAGTGGGTAAAACTTATAATGCATTCATACTGGACAAGCCCAAATATCCTAAATTATTGGAGAATTTAAAGCAGGCTATGTAGGGATACTGGAAAATCCCTAAATCCTACCACAACCCATTCTATTTTTAAAGCAAGTGAAACTGAGTTCCAAATAAAATGGACGTTAAGACTACAGGGATTCTGTTAGTAATTTATTCCTATAGGCTGAAGGGAAAGAACTCCTGCTGTCAAGCCACAGAAATGAAACCAAGAGTATCACCAAGAAGATTTGGCTGTGAACTATTCTTTATTCTGATCTTATTGTCTTCTCAGTTTTCAGCCTAATTAAATCAGGACAATGTTTTAAATCCAAAAAGCTCTAGGTAGAGCTGACGCAGACACATTACCTGTTTTCACAAGTGTAACGAGCAAACATTGCTCAAAAGTGTTTCAGTCTTTCTCCAGAGCCCCACCTGAGCTTTCAGAAATAGTTTGACAGCTCAAATGGTCCCCTGGCTGTTAATTTTAATAAAATAGTAAAATTCTGTCAACAGTTTCACTCAAAACTGTTGAGGGATGTCAAGAGTCGAGCAGAAAAACTGTCGGCAATCATGAATCATTATGATCAAGCATGGCTCGTGTACTTGTTGTGCTTTAAAGACTATTTCAAGGAAAGCATAACACGATGACATCATAAAAGCCGGCGTACAAACACGAGGTTGTTTTCCAAGTGATATTTTGAAGAAAATGAGAACAGAACCTACTTAACATTGTACTGGCCAGACTTAAACGTGCAGCGGTCAGGGAACTGGCTGAGTTTCCTGGAAAGACCTTTGAGGTGCCTCTTGGTTTCCTGAAGCTCTCTCTCCAGTTCGTAGTCTGTGGACGCCGAGAGGGGCAGGCCGTCCGCGACCCGGACCACAGAGGCAAACAGCACCATGGACATTTTATAGATCAGGCTGTCTCACTGAAGGCCTGTGAACAAAAATAAAAACAGACTCTGAAACACTTGTCTTAGTGTTGGTGCATCACAAACTTAAAGGCTGACAGACACTGCGCTTTCGTCCTGAACGTTGGCACAGAGGAGAATTTTTTGTTCTTAAACGATAACTCGTGAAGAAAACCTTTGAACACATTTGCTACACCGACTAAACAGGCAATCTAGAAGTTTACTTTTGTCTTTAATATGAAAAGGTGCTTTAAAAATGTCCAGACACTCCCATCCATTTGGATGACTTGTGAGAAATCTTTTTACTTCTGTTTCAGACAAAAGTTAAGGCACTGGCTCTTTTTCCCACCAATTCTATCCCTCTTGTCTCCATGTTAATTGACCAGTTTGAGCCCATCTCACCACCTTATAAGAACAGCTGATTTACTGTATGGTGATGTGGTTCTCTTATTGATGCTCTGCTCGACTTCTAAAGGTCTTTCCTGTAGAGTCCTTCTACTCTCTACAGTGTGAAAAGCATCAAGTTTAAGTTATGTGAATATAACAGTCATCTCCTGCGCCTTTCATTCAAGACGAGTCTGAGACCTCAGCAATCCATGCTTTTATAACATCTTGGATTGACTACGAAAGGGAAGAATAATGAATGGATGGATTAATTACTGCAATGCGCTGCTTTTTGGATTAGTCAGGCTTCTGTTGCTCCGGTCCAACTGGTTCAAAATGCTGCTGCGTGATTTCTAACAGGCTAAAGAGAACGCATTTTTCCAGTTAATTTCCGAGTTAATTTTAAAATTGTTGTGTATGTTTTTAAATTACTTAACAGTTCTGCCCCCTCGTATCTTCCTGAATTGCTGTAGCCATGTGTACGACTGTCTCTGAGGTCAGCAGATCAGATGATTTTAGTGGTTTCAGGGACGCTGTCCAAGCGGCGGAATGGTTTGCCGCTGCACGTTAGGCAGCCTCTCACTCTCGTTTCAAACATGCTTCGACTCCCTGACCTTCGATCCAGTGTACGACTTTGACCTTATTGTGCTTTTACTATTTCATTTTAATTATTTTTACTTCTGTACATTTATGTACACTTTACATTTTATCCTGTGCTTGTTGTACATAACTTTAATCTGCATTTTTTTAAGTGGTTTGTTTATAAATTAAGTTGCATGGTATCTTAAACAATATGACCAAAATTGCTATTAGCATACACCTTTTTTAAATTTATTTATTCCTTGATCATAACATCAGTTTTTAACTGTTTACATTTAAACATGAATCTATTATTACATTACATTATTATTAATACAATGCTGACATGTTCCTGTTATTGTTTTTATATTGCTTTATAATGTAGCCGTTTGTTTCTTTTAATATCATTTTCTTCCATTCATTTTTTTCAATTTATTGAGACTAACCTGTATAAATAAAAGGGTGAATGAAAGAATGAATTATGGGCACAACCCGGCCTCAGCTTTCTAAAGAATTAAAAACAAGAAGTTTATTCTGTTTACACAGAGTTAAAAACGCAACCATACAGCTTCGATTATTTTGCTTTTGCAGTTTGATGAACAAAACCATGTTACTGTACTGTCAAATAAAATAAAAAATAATAAAACACCTGGTTGAAAAACAGTTATTTATCTGCACTGAACTTCTTATAGTTGTAACACCCGAGCAACAATTCCATTAAAATTCTGAGCTCATATGGAGGAAAAATAGGACATTTGAAACATTCTTCAGGTTGTATATTGCTCATATTCATAAATGTGGCTGATTATCTGGACACAGTCTTTGGTTTCTATTTAATATCCCCACATTAAATCTCTGACATTCTTTTCTAGTATAATAAATGAAAACAAACAGTGAGTTGTGGACCGTGTGTCAGAGTCAGAACCACGGAGAGCTCCAGAACCGAGTTCAAAATACACAGAGACAGGAAGTGAGATGAACACACCTGTCATCACACCATGCCTTCCCACAGGTCGTGGAAAACGTAAAAGTCCACTTCAATAAATAATTACTAGTTTAACAGCACAAAATGACAACAGAAACAAACAAAAGGGGACTGGCTGATGATTGTTGGGCTAGCTACGTAACTTCAGAATTGTAGATTTATATGAACTCGGTCAGCTGCTTCTTTGAAATATATTCATGGTGGTGTCAAATATTTGTTTGGAGGTGAACAACAGCTCCAGTAACACTCCTGTCACTGTTAGCCGCTAACAACATTAGCTTAGCAGGATGAGGCTAATGAGCTAACAGCTAAACACTTAGCATTCCAAAAACTCTGAAAACGGTGTAAACAGATGAAAATTAAATATCGGACGAAATGAGTTCAACGTCTGACATAGCAATACCTGGTAAAGAGTGTAGCATCATGCGAGCTGTGCCAAAGAGCTCTGAAAGAGGAAGCTAGCAAAGCAGCAGGAAGCCGCCGCTCATGTTTACGTGGCTCTGTCGCTGTGCATTGTGGGTAAAGAGAAAGCGCCAGTAGCGTACCAAAATAAAAGTTTTGTTGCAACTTAAAGTTTAACTTTAACAAATACTTTATGTCCATGCGATGCATGTGTAACTGTCTGAATATTTCAAAAGCACGTTCAAAAACAACAAAATGCTTCACGATTTGCCGAACAAGGTGATAAAACGGTAAATATCAGAGTCAGAGATGCTTTATTGTCATTCGCACCTCATGTGGTACATGTGGTGGAGCGAAATTATGTCCACAGGGTCCCAGTTACATCCAACAATAAAATGTAACTGAATAACAGTAATAAGATCTAAGATATGAACTAAGAAAAACATCAACTAAATATTCACTAAGCACTCATAACATAAAAACATTACGCTGAAGAGCAGCACGAACATGAGTCTGTGTGAACAGATGAGCACGCATGAACACAGCAACATGAAACTGATCAGCAGCAACATAAAACATCAGCAGCAACATGAAACAGATCAGCAGCAACATGAAACAGATCAGCAGCTACATGAAACAGGTAAGCAGCAACATGAAACAGGTAAGCAGCAACATGAAACATCAGCAGCAACATGAAACGGATCAGCAGCAACATGATGTGATTTTTCACAGTGAATATTCTGATTAGAGATTCATGAGTAACAGCCTCAGGGTAGAAGCTGTTCCTCAGTCTAGTGATTCTACACTTAATGCTCCTCAACCTCCTTCCTGAGGGGAGTGGGGCAAAATGTGTGTGTGCTGGGTGAGTGGGGTCCTTCATGATGCAGGTGGCCCTCTTCCTGCATCTGGAGGTGTAGATGTCTGTGATGGTGGGGAGACTGATTCCGACAGATTTCTGTGCAGCCTTCACCACTCTCTGCAAAGCTTTTCTTTCTGCAGCTGTGCAGCCTCCATGCCACACGTTGATGCTGGAGCACAGGATGCTCTCCACTGCACACCTGGAGAAGGAGGTGAGGACTGAGCTTCCCAGACCAGCTCGCCTCAGCCGTCTGAGGAAGAAGAGTCTCTGATGAGCTTTCTTCATCAGGCTGGTGGTGTTGTTGCTCCAGCTGAGGTTGTCATTCATGTGTACACCCAAGCACTTGTAGCTGGAGACCACTTCCACCGCAGATCCTCTTATGTTCAGGGGGGTGTAGATGTTTTTGTTCCTTCTGAAGTCCACAATCATCTCCTTTGTCTTCTTCACATTGATGTGAAGGTTATTCTCTTTGGACCAGCTCTCCAGGTGTTCCTAATATCCTGAAATAACAACATAAAATACAATAATAAATAAATAAAGATAAGCAAAACTATATCCACAGCATTTAGAGCCTCATATTTTGTTCAAGTAAAAAAAAGTGCAATAGTAGAAATCGGAATATGTTTATAGTGTGGCAGTGTTTATATTCAAGTCTCTTGTAAATGAGTCCTCGAGGCTCAATGGGATTAACTTGTCTAAATAAAAGTTGAATGAAAAAATAATAAATTCAAAGTTCAAGGTGACTATTGTCATCACATGTGGTACATGACGTGGAACGAAGTTGTGTACGCAAGGTCCCAGTTACACCCCAATAAAAAAAAAAAAAAATAAATTAAAAAAAAAAAAATATATATATATATATATATATATATATATATATATATATATATATATTATTCGCACACAGTTGTGAGGTTTCAAAACTAAAGCGGTCTGTACTTTTCTGGAACTTTAAAAACATTGGGGTAAAATTCCACACGTTAATAATTGCCAGTGTTAAAAAGAAAAAACAACAATGATTCTTCAACAAGCTGAGACATTATCCTTCTGCCATTGCCCTGAGTCTGACCCCAGGGGGCCCCAAGGGTTGAGATGCCCCAAATATTTCAGCTGGGGGACATCCAGGAAGCATCTCTACACCTCCTCTAATGACTCCTCATCTCTTGGCTCAACTCCACGTAGCTGTTGTCTTGTGTACCTCAGACACTGGCCTACGTGATAAGATCTACGTAGATTTTTCTTGGAGTTTAGGCACTTAATGTTTCTTATTTCTGTTAAACCTTCGTGTAGCTCTTTCACAAGCACTGGTACGTTTTGCTTTTTATTTTTTTTCCAATTAGCCAGTATAGAGATTTGACTGAAGGTTTGATTCCCCTTTGTGTTAGATAACCCTTTCATTAAATATTTGACCAAGTACACACAATTTTTTAACATGGACTTCTTCAAATGAATCTAAAATCTGTGTAATCTCTATCTATTTTAAGACTGTATCATTAAATAAATAATGAATGTATCCATTTAAATAGGTTCATTATCCTTAAATAAAACCATATTTTTAGATTTTCCAATCATTCCGATCTTAATTTGCTCCAGATACTAAATTCCCAGCAGTAGAAAAACCCATTCATAAATAATTGATGTGCAGAATTTATGTTTTTAGGTTTCGGCTATAGAATGGTAAATGAATAATGAAAACTGTGTACCCAGAGCCTGCCAAGCTTTAGAGCTCCACTTCCATCTGAAATGGGCCGTCTGCTGGCGTCAGCGTTTTCTTCTATTTTCATACAC